TTAAAGATAGAGTTCATTAAGAGGAAAGAAGAGATGGGGGCAGAAAAGGGTTTTTAGATTCAAGAGATGAACAAGGCAAATGCAGAAGCTATGTAGTTGTGTTTATAAGGGGGGAGAATAAAAAGAAGAATAGAAGTAAAAGAATTAACAGAAGAGTGAAAAAAAACAGTTTGGCTGTTAGTAAAAAAAGAGAGAGAGAGAAACAGAAACAGAGGGAAATGGAGTTGTGAAACAAACAATAGAAAAATCAATCCAAAACAAAAACCCTAACCCTCAAAAAATAGAGCACAGAACAATTACTACCCTCAAAGAAACGCTAAAAGTGAAAAAGCAGAAACAGTGGCTGGGGCTGGGGCTCAGTGGTAGAGCATTCGCCTAACATGTGTGAGGCTCTCAGTGGTAGAGTGCTCACCTAACATGGGTTCGAGCCTCCCCACCACATAAAAATAAATAAACAAAACAAAGGTATTGTGTCCATCTACAACTAAAAAATTTAAAGAAAAAGCAGAAACAAATATGTATGTATACAAATGTATAAACATCCATTATGTATCAATCAGTACACATTCAAAAACAAAACAAAAACAAAATAACAGAATAGTCAATGAGAGTATTTGCCAGCTGTCTGTGCTAAACTGCCTTTCCATCTCTCATCCTCCCTTTTCAGCAGAATGGTGTGAGGACCTATGGAAGGTACTTTTGGATCACTTCCAGGATATTGTTACTGCTGGGTTCTGTGAAATGAGTTCCTGCAAGTGAAGCTCCCAGGGCAGAGCTTAGGTCTGGTATTGCCCCAGGTGTTTTACTGCATGGGCATTAATATATCAATATCCCACTACTCTCCCCAGGCCACCACTCATGGGACGGGGGAGTGGGTTCTTCCCCAGTTCTGGTCTTTGGAGATACTGTTCTTTTGGGCCTCTCCAGGACTGGTTTCCAAGCACTGATCTCAGTCACTCCGACACATTCAAATTCTCCCTTCGGCTGGTTCTGCCCGCTGCCAGATTCAAGGGAGCCGGACGGAGGGCAGGCTTTCTCTGGCCTTTCTGATCTGTATTGCCGCCAGCCAAAATGGTTTCCGTGCCAGAAATTCTGCATGCCAGAAATTCTCCTGATTTTCTAGGCTTAGTTTAGATCTTGCAGTTGGCATCTGCTTGATTCATGTATTGGACCCAGCCTCAAACTCATGAACCTAAGTTCCCAGTCTGAATTAGAACCACTGTCACAAGGATGTACCAAAATATCTCTTGCTTGAGCTCCCTGTGCACATATGGCAGACCTAATTTTGGTGTACCCAGTTTAATGAGCCAAATAGCCTCTGGGTCGGCCCACAGCAGGCTGCCCCTTCCATCCTAGGACTCCCCACACCAAGACTTTTCCAGCACTTTAGGATCATTTTCAAACTTGTGTATCAATTTTACCCACTTCCACCAAGAGCCTTAGCCTTATCTGATGTACCCAAAATTTCCTAGTCTTCGAGGCTCTCTGTCCAATACTGAGTATCAGTAGAGTGCTTTTTTTTTTCACTTACCTCACAGAGAAGTAGTTTTCTTACTGTTTGAGTACTAAGTCACAGAGTTGTGAGAAAAGCCACTTCCTGCTAATCCGCCATCATCTCTCCCCACTCCCATTTTTTTTAGTTGTAGATGACCACGATACCTTTATTTTTTATTTATTTTTATGTGGAGATGAAAATCGAACTGTCTTGCACGTGCTAGGCAAGTGCTCTACCACTGAGCCTCAACCCTACCCACTATAGATAAGTCTTAGAAAATAAAAAAGTTTAAATCTGACAGCTCCTATCATGATGAGGGAGATATAGAAGGGCTTAGGCAATAAGGGCTAGATAGTGAGGAAGTCAGGGGCAGGGCCAGAACAAAGGAGCATGGAGAGGGTCTTCTGATGAGGTCAACTTCCTGCTTGACAAAAGTGCTAATGCACACAAGTGGAGGACCCAATCAGACAGACACTTCTGTACTCATGCTCCTAAGCGGGGGATTCAATAGAAAAACTAAGATGTGTGGACAGAGGGGGCACCAATCAATAATAGTGAGAAGAGTATGGATGGGGAGGAGATAAGGAAAGGAGGAGATTCCAGAGACCATAAAAAGAACAGACCAAAACTCCCCCACCGAATTCCCAGCTCTGGGACCTCTTTTCTTCGGAGAGTTTCTCTCTGTATCTCTATCACCTTTGCAATAAACCTACTTCTTGCTTGCTATCTCTGTGTCCTGTTCTTCAAATTTCTTTTTTAAACAGAGACAATGAACCCAGCACCCCTAGATGGGAACAAATAAAGGATGAGACAAATTCACTTATTGAGAGTAAAGGTGGAAGAAGAGTTTTAAAAGGTTTGAACACAGGCAATCTGATATGAAACATTCATCTCAATACTAACTTAACACAATTTAAATATTCTTATCTCAACTCCAAAGGCTACATCTGTTTTGTTTTGTTTTATTTTGTTTTTGGAGTTGGTGTTTGGTTTGTTTGGTTTGGTTTTGGTGTGTGTTTGTGGGTTTTGGAGGTGTTAGGGGGTATCTTTTGTTGTTGTTTTGTTTTGCAGTACTGGGGATTGACCCTGGGTAACTCTACCACTGAGTTATATCCCCAGTCCTTTTAATTTTGAGACAAGGTCTTTCTAAGTCACTGAGGCTGACCTCCAACTTGTGAACCTCCTGCCTCAGCTTCCTGGAGTTGCTGTGATTACAGACATGCAACACCACACCTGGCTTACATCATTATTAATGGGCATACTAGTCCAGGTCCAATCACCCAGAGACCACTCTTATGGCTTCAAACATAAGAAATATAATGTAGCGGGCTGGGGATATGGCTCAAGCGGTAGCGCGCTCGCCTGGCATGCGTGCGGCCCGGGTTTGATCCTCAGCACCACATACAAACAAAGATGTTGTGTCCGCCGAAAACAAACTAAAAAATAAATATTAAAAAATTCTCTCTCTCTCTCTCTCTCTCTTTAAAAAAGAAAAGAAATATAATGTAGCCAGACATAGTGATGCACACCCGTAATTTCAGGTACTTGGAAACCTAAAAATAGTGAGAATCACAAGTCAGAGGCCACCTTGGGTAACTTAATGTGACTCTGTCGCAAAATAAAGTGAAAAGGGGTGAGGGTGTAGTCCAGTGGTAGAGTGCTCACCTAGCATGCATGGGGTGCTGGGTTCGATCCTCAGCACCACATAAATGTAAAATAAAGATACTGTGTCCACCTAAAACTAAAAAGTAAATAAATTTTTAAAAAGTTGGGTAAGAGGCTTGAAAAATACAGATAAACGACTACCTGTGAGAAATTATTAGAGACATTCCCATTAATTTCAGGAAGAAAAGGAATTTAGTGTCCATCTCACTATTTGATATTGTTGACCTTAAGCAAGAGAAAAACAAAATTGAAAAGAATTAAATTATCATTGTTTCCACATATCATTTTGTACCTGGGAATCCCAAAAAATGAAGAAGAGTCCCTCATTTATAATAATAAAAAGGTAAAATAACTAAGAATACACTTTCAGATTGTTCGATAGCTACATGAACCTAACTTAACAATGCTTCTTTGGGGCCAGATCAGTGGCACACACCTGTAATCCTAAGCTACTCAGAAGACTAAGGCAGGAGGATTGCCAGGACAACTTAGTGACACTCTATTTCAAAATTAAAAATAAAAAAGTCTGGGGATGTAGCTTAATCCCCAGTTCAATCCCCAGTACAAAAACAAAAAATACCTTCCTTTGGTCACTATGCAGGTGGTGTGCAGCCTTCAATACACAATGGAGAGCTGCTCCCAAGATGCTGAGGAGGCTTCATCCAAAAGAGAACCATTGGGGCTGGGGTTGTGGCTCAGCGGTAGAGCGCTCACCTAGCATGCACAAGGCCCTGGGTTTAAACCTCAACACCATATAAAAATAAATAAACAAAATAAACGTGTACAACTAAAATAAAAAAAATATTTTTAAAAACCTATTTAAAAAAAAGAGAGAGAACCATTAATAACCCGGGACCTGGGGACTTTGTACTGAGACACCTGTGACCCAAACACCTTTTGTCTGCCACTTCCCTTCTTCCACAGCAATCTCTGGCCTGGTCCTGAAGCCATGAGGGGTTACCGTCCGAGGCTGTGATCCAGGTCCCCAGGGAGCTGTGAGGACACCCAGGGCCACCTGCTTCCTGCTGTTACCCCACTCTTCTTAGATCACACAAATGTGTGATGCATGGGGACACTTTGAAAATTGTATAGGCCCTCTAGCCTCTCCTTATACTCCCTATTTTATACAAATTCTCTTTATAAGAAATTGAAACACAGAAAGTAAAAACACTTGCCCAAGGGGACACAGGCCAAAGTGGCAGAACTAAGACTTTTTTTTTTTTTTTAATATTTATTTATTTTTAGTTTTCGGCAGACACAACATATTTGTTTGTATGTGGTACTGAGGATCGAACCCGGGCCGCACGCATGCCAGGCGAGCGCGCTACTGCTTGAGCCACATCCCAGCCCCAGAACTAAGACTTTTTTGAACCCAGGTCTCCGAATCTGCTTTTCCCTCCCCTTCTTTTCTCCTAATTCTGGAGCCTGGAGGCCTTGGATAATAACAAACACCAGTAAACTCAGTAAATGCCTTTCTTTTGACCAGTAACTACCCTCCTTCTTAAGACCAATCAGACCTAATCCTGAACATTCTGTTTGGCCTCCATCTGGGGCAAAGGCCTGCTACAGTTTATCAAACCCTGAGGGTGTGCTCCGGAAACCCAACCAGAATTTCCAGCTTGCACAACCAATTGAAGCAGACCTGGGATCAGAATGAGACTAAGACATCCCCCCATGACTCAGCTCTTCCCTGATATTTGGCTCCCATGAAGCAGTAATCTGAGACATAAACCCTGGTCCCCCTTAACATCTCTCTCTAAGGTGAGTCAGCACATGCCTCCCTCCTCAGCTGGGCAGCGCTCCCCAGAACACAGGCACCACGTGTCCCTTGGCCCCACATAAAGCTTTTGGAGAGCCCATAGGACTGTGAGAACTTTGCCTTCTGGAGGAATTCCACACACCCTCTCCACCCTGTAAGGAAGATTGCCAATCCAGACCCAAGGAACAAAGTCCTAAAACAGGAGGAGGGGAGACTGGTTTCTGCAGAGGCTGGGCAGAGAAAGAAAGCCAGTGCCCCAACAGAAGCACCACCTGAAGCTGGTGCCATGGATGTTCTGGTCCGACTCCTGCAGCTGCTCATGCTGCTCCTGACGCTGCCCCTGCACCTGATGGCTCTCCTGGGCTTCTGGCAGCCCCTGTGCAAAAGCTACTTCCCCTACCTGATGGCCGCACTGGCTGACAAAACCAACCGCAAGATGGAGAACAAGAAACGGGAGCTCTTCAGTGAGATAAAGGGGCTGATGGGAACCTCAGGGAAGGTGGCCCTGCTGGAGCTGGGCTGTGGCACTGGTGCCAACTTCCAGTTCTATCCTCCTGGCTGCAGGATCACCTGCCTGGACCCAAATCCCCACTTTGAGAAGTTCCTGAAAAGGAGCATGGCTGAGAACAGGCACCTCCAATATGAGCGGTTTGTGGTGGCCCCTGGAGAGGACATGAAACAAGTGGCTGATGGCTCCATGGACGTGGTGGTCTGCACTCTGGTGCTCTGCTCTGTGCAGAGCCCAAAGAGGGTCCTGCAGGAAGTCCACAGAGTGCTGAGGCCGGTGAGCAGAGTGGGAAGGACGGGGGCCTGGGGCAGGCAAACAGCATTGGCCACCCCAGAGTTCGGGGGCCCCAGGAGGGGGAACTGAGGTATTAGTACATTAGATACCCCACTACCGCCACCTGCTGCTGAATAAGAGTGACCATGATGGACCCAAGAGGGTGCTGTTGGGGCAGACAGGAGAGTCACCTAACAGGAAGTGGAGGGAGGTGGAGAAGTCACCTAAGGAAGTGAAGTTTAAATTGAGATCAGAAGAATTAAACAGGACAGGGAGGGTGGGGAAATAAGTGTGCCAGTCGAGATATTAGGGGGAGTAGAATCCACACACTTTTTAAATCCATAATATTACAAGCCGGGCATAGAGAGAGGGGAGTTTAGGATAGTTTCCAAGTTTCTGGTGTGAGCAACTGAAGGGATAATGGGTGCTAGACCATTTGCTGGAATGGAGGAACACTGTTTGGGACTTGTTAGGTCCCAGGAGCTGCTGAGACAGCCAAGCAAGAAACCATGTGGGCTGTTAGAGGGCTAGAACTGGAGGCAGGAAAAGATGCAGTGTGGAGATAGAGAGTTGGACATCACCAGCTTGTAGCTGCTAATTAAGAGCACGGGGGTGAGTGAATCACTAGGGGAGGGTACTGGGAAGAGAAGAGCTGGAGAAACCCCCTGTGGTTATCGGGCAGGGTCTGAGGCTTCCCTGGGATGTTGGAGGAGATGTCAGGAACAGCTATGGCACGCACCTGAGTCTTGGTAGAGAGGCCTGGTGCATCTGTATATAGTGAGCCATCTGCCCTTGTTTCTTAGTCACCCTCTGTCTGCCCTCTGGACCTTCTTTAAAGATCTCTCAGCAGTCATTTCCCCCTCAGTTACAAGAGGTTCTTCACAGGCCCCTTGAGGGAGGGTAGGAGCAGGGGTTGTAGAAAATGTCAGAGCAGCAGTTTGCTCCATAAACTCTCAGATCAGCTGCTCCCACTTCACTAAGAGATTTGGCCAGGCTTGATCAGAGGGAAAGAGGAAGGAACAGGATGGAGCAGCTAGTGACACTGACCCTCTCCTCCCTCCCAGGGAGGAGTGCTGTTCTTCTGGGAGCACGTGGCTTATCCGCGAGGAAGCCAGGCCTTCATGTGGCAGCAAGTTTTTGAGCCCACCTGGAAGCACATTGGGGATGGCTGCTACCTTACCAGAGAGACCTGGAAGGACCTGGAGAATGCCCAGTTCTCTGAGATCCAAATGGAACGACAGCCCCCTCCCTTCAAATGGTTACCTGTTGGGCCCCACATCATGGGGAAGGCTGTGAAATAAACTTCCATGGGGGGGGGTCATTTGCTGCCTCTCCTGTCCCCAGTCAGAAAAAGCCATCCACAGGCAAATCTGTCTTCTGCTGAGAGGGATCTAATCAAGAATGAGAGAAGCTTCCCCTACCACCATCATCCCCTAGTTCCTCCCTCCCTCTGCCTGAGGGGAATCTCTAGCTCTTAAAAAAAAAAAAAAAAAAAATCCTACCCTGACTAGAGGGAGGAAAACATTATGCTCTGTCATTCCTTAACTAAAAATTCCCAGACTTCACCCACCCCCTTCCTAGGACAGCTCCCATCCCTTCCCTTATCCCCATGGGAAAGGTCCCCCTGCCCTCCTTAGGTTACTCCTATGTGCCCCTGAGACTAGCTTCAGAAGCCACGGTACTGCAACCCTGCCTGGCCACCCGAGTGTCCCTCCCCACTACCACCTTTATCCTGAGCTGTGGGGGTACCAGAGAGAAGGGGAGACCCTGGGGAGGAGGGAGCAGCACTTAGCAAAGAAGCCAGAGATTTTGTCTTCAAATGTTTTTTAATAAATAGACAAAATCCACTAGACTGATGCAGCAAACTAAGGTCAGAGGAGAAGGGAAACTGAGGAGGGAGAAGCCCCTGAGTCAGCAACACAATCTCCTCCCTGACTGTCCGGCTAAGGCACTTTGGGGGAGACAGGTTACACAGCGGGAGTGGCAGAAGGAGGGATTCTGATCCCCACCGTATAGCAGGACATCCCTGCCCTTCTTGCCCTGCCCCACAGCCCCATCCCTGGTTGACACCCTCTTGTCTCCCAGCATTCCAAGGGGAAGATCGGGGTGGTTCTCATGGGTGGGTGAGGTCTGTGCTCCTGAGAAAGCAGATCCTGCCAAATCTTGAGGCAGTGTCAGCAACCAATTCTACTCTCTTCATCCAGAGGAGCCACTCAGGAAGAGGTGGAAGGGACCCTTGGGCTAGGATGAGACCAAGGAAGCTAGGCAGTGCCTGGCACAGGGTGCACCTCAGGGCCCAGCTCAGGGTGCCCATCAGCAGCCAGGATGGGGTGTGCGTCAGGACTTTCCCGTCGGGGACTGCCCCAGTTGTTCCTCAAGATGGTCCCTGTCTTCTCTTCCTTGAACTGTTGCCGGTCTTCACGAGGGATCTTCACTGCATGGTACTGGGGCACTGTGGCCTCAGGGTGCTTTGCCCGCTTGAAAAATCCCATCTGTAAGGACGCCAAGCCAGACTATGAGGAGCTGCAGGGCTGAGGTCCTGGGGATATACACCCACAGCACAGAGCCTTGCCCCCACCACCCCTGGGAGAGAAACAACCAGCTGAAGCAGAACAGAGACAGGCCAGCCAGCACTCAGCACCATGGGCAGCACCCAGGGTGCCACCAGTGCCAGGCCCCAGGTTCTCATTCACAGCAAGAGGAAGATCAAGAGGGGGCCCGAGGAGCAGGAAAGGAAATCTCCTTGAGCCTCTGAAAGGGAGGCTTGGAGGTGGGACATCAGGACCTCTAACTCCCAAGATTTCTATCCACCCAAGCTTCTTAAGAGGCCAACAGCATCCCCCAAGATCTGAGGAGGAAATGGCTTCCTCAACCCCTGCATATCTGGCCCCTTCGCGCCTTACACACCCCCTGTGTGCTTGTACACTGGGTAGCACCTCCCTTAGGCAGGGACCTCTCCTCCCTGAATACAGTACTCCATCCCCTCCTTACATCATGACCATGCTGGTCCTGCACACCAAGATGGCCATGTGGCCTTTCCATACTCATACTCAGAACTTCCCAAGACTCCCCAAGCTCAGGCTGCACAGCATCTCCTTGCACATCCATCTCTGCACACTCATGCCTACAGAAGAGACGTGCATGGAGCCTCCCCACACTCCTACATGCTCAGCCATGAGCCCACCCAGCTCTTAGTGCATGCCCCCAGCTGTATACACACACCCTTATAACCTCAGCCTCCTAATGATTTCTCGCCTCCGTCACTAGGACTCACATCACCCTCATGCAAACACATTCCTTATTCCTGATCCCTGAATGCTAGAACTCTATTCATTCTCACATACATACATACATACACACGCACACACACACACACACACATAGTTGCAGACACACTCATGCACACATACAAGTTACCCCACAGTCCCTGGACCCCCAACTTCCATGGCCGACGGCTGTACAGCCAGATGGGCTCTGTGATAGTTGGTGGGGAAAGATGAGCTCTGACTGCTCCGATGGAAGAAGCCGCACTGGGAAGTTGAGGGAGGAGGGGAGCAAAAGAGGCAGAGGATGGAAAGACTGAAGACGAGGGGGCCTTATCTCTGCTGTTTCTGGGGTGCAGGGGGAAAGCATCCTGGGGCCAGTTTCATGAAGACATCAATCTCCCTTAAGACTGGGCAGGTTCCCCACTGCTTAGATGCCACTCCAGAGCCTGGTCCACTTGCCAAAAGGTGTGCTCACTCTGTGATCGGTCCCAGGGGACAGGTGGGAAGTAGGGCAGTGCCCCGCAGAGCCCAAGGACATGCACGGTTCTGCACCCATCCCCAGATGTGGTGTGTGGCTCAGAGACGATGAGCCCTGGTGATGTATGTGACTGCCTGTACTGATATGTGGGTGGGTGTGTTTTTACGTTGCACTCCAGATATCAATGGGATTCTGTTACAGCTGGGTGTGTTCAAGAATGGTTCCATGTGGACCTGGTATGTGGAAGCTCAAAGTCCAGCTTTGCAGGCAGCTTCCTGGAACTAGTTCTCCACACTTGGTGGCCTTTTGGGCCACAGCTTTCTTTCCAGCCTTCACTGCCACACTCATTAAATCAGACCATACTTCCCCAGCTCCATGTCTTTGCCTACCAGGGGCCTTCTGGAAGGCTCAGGCCCCACCCACCCCATCTCCCCATATCCAGATTCTATCAACTCACCTTCCTTTAAGACCCAGCTCCACAGCCCTCTGCTCTTGAGTCTCCCTTCCTCTGAACTCCCCCTTTCTCAACTCAACCCCTTCTGCCTTGTCTTTGACTGTGAGGCTCAATAACCCCACTACGCTACAAAATTCCTGAGAATAAGATCTGCATCAGACTTATCTTTGAAACACTCAGGGCTGGATAGAGTCCCTGGTGCATGCAGGGTCAGCGCTTAATGTAGATTTGTTGAATACATCGGTGTGAAGGTGAGTGAGAGAGCCACAGTTCAAATGTCTGCCTGCCCAACCAGGAAGTCTAGCCTCCAGCAGGTGCCCCCCTCCCCAAGCCTCACCTTCCACAGGAGCAGCACCAGCAGCGCTAGCACCAGCAGTCCGGCCAGCACAGCCAGGAGGATGACCCACCAGGGGACTCCTTCTGCCACCACAGCCATGGGGTCTAAGTATACCATCACTGGAATCTGAGGAATAAGGAGTTAATGGAGTGAGAGCTGGAGGGAGAAGGAAAGAAGAGAGTCTCCCCACCCAGCCAGCCCAGCCCTGCAACTCACCACAGTGGAGGCATCTCTGAGCAGCAAGTTCTTGATGGAGGACTTCACTGTGATGTTGGCTCGGACAATCACTTCCAGGGACTTCACAGCTGAGTACTCCTAAAAGAGTGGAGAAGGGGACCCTCCTCCTAAATGCCCCACGTTCCCCTCACTTTCCCCCAGCTCCTGAAATTATAAATGGAATGGTGCCCAATGCCAAGGTTGATTCTGTCTGTCTTGGTTCAGGAATATGCTGCATTTAGACAAGAACAAGGTAGCGATGAATCCCAGTGGGGCCTCTGCAGAAGAAGAAACCCAGCCTGAAGCCCAGCAGAGCCCTCACCTCCAGAAAGGTGCTATTCCACAGGCGGCCCCAGACGTGCAGCACAGCCGCACGGTCAAAGCTATAGAGTGGACAGCTGAACACCACACAGTTGGCAGTACCCCGGGCGCAGTCCTGAGGACAAGAACAGGCAGGGTTCAGAGCTGCTCAGCCCCACCCCATTAAGCCTACCATCTCTTTTATTTTATTTTCAGGACCTCTAACTTCCCTCCTCCAGGAAGTCTTCCCAAACTAACCCTATTGTCCAAAATAGCTGCCTACCCCAAATCTGAGCTATTTGGCTTTGAAATGCATGAGGGGCACAGAGGGGATCTCTTAACAGGAAAAGGCAAAGTAGCTTCTCCAACTGATTCTTATTGCCACCTTATGATGGTTTCATTTTTGAGCACCTACTATCTGCCAGCAATTACCCCACTTAAGTATCCTGCAGAGTGCATATTATTAACTTTTTTTTTTTTTTGCAGTACTAGGAATTGAACCCAGAGGTGTTCTACCACTGAGATACACCTCTAGTCTTTTGTATTTTTTTATGTTGAGACAGGGTCTCACTAAGTTGCCCAGGGTGGCCTCCCTCCTGCTTCAGCCTTCTGAATTGCTAGGATTGCAGACATGTACCACCAAGCCCAGCATTACTAACATTTTTCAAAGGAGGAAACTGAGGACCAGGGAGGCCAGGTGACCACCTAGCAAAACAATTAAGTTGTGGAGCTGGTATTGCAAGTCAGGTCCACATTAGACAAAACCACAGGCCTGCACTAAGCTCAAACTCACTGAAGGAGGAGGAGAGTGACACAGGATCTGCTGGAAGGACAGGAACTCAGTCTGTTCCTTCCAAGACTGACCTAATCCATTTGACCAAGTTGTCACTAATAACCTATTTGTATAAAAGTTATGTTATATTCATCATGCCACAGTCCATTTACAGAAGAATGGCTTTGAGAGTGCTTGAAGTTACTTTGAGTCGTCCTTTAGTTTGCAACTTTTGAGCAATTCAAGAGTCCTTAGTCAATTTGTTTTAAAAGCAAGACTATCTGCCTTAACTTTGTGTATGTTATTTTCATATGTTATGTTAAGTGAAACAAGCCAGGCATGGAAAGACAAATACCACCTGATCTCACCCATATGTGGAATCTAAAAGAGGTGAACTCAGAAGTAGAGAGTTAGCATGCTTACCAGGGGCTGGATGGGCGGGAGTGAATAGGAAATGTTGGTCAAAGGATACAGTTTCAGTT